AGTGTCGCGGGACACTCTCCAGTATAGCTCAATGGATCGCTGAGGTGCGCAAACCGTCACACCACGGTAAGGTCCAGTCTCTTCGTGACGGCATACATTGGTCAATGGTTTGGAAAGGGAATTTGACCATAACACCGAACATATTAGAAACTTCTGTATTGTTCGGCCAGAGGCGGCGAATTCTATTAAGACTTTAGCAACGATAACTCTAAATAGTGAGAAAAATTAACGACCCACTTAGAGAAATCTGTCGTATTGTAAAGGAATTTATGAGCTTATTTCAAGTAGTTAACCAGTGGGCTAAATAACACATAAATGGCAGGTTGGCACCGTTTTCTGGATTAGTCTGTTGCACCGAACTGTGGAGATCTACATGAGGTTTGAGCTGAGTCGGACGTGCATTCACCTGAAAACTTTGTACCTGGTATAAATCCAAGGGAATAGCACCAGAGGGTGAAAAGAAGGAGAGGGCGTTCCAGAGCCATCAGCATGCCCAACTGGTGACTTGCAGGTGCCGACTTAAGTGGGAACAACCGAACAGTTAAGCTATCAGTGTGCCCAAAGGACACCTCGGGGCCCGCGTCACGCATCCTAGTCACAGCCATGTGACCAGTTAGCACTAGCAATCATTCAGCTAGGTTTGTACAGCGTTATACGTTCAACATTCCGGAAGGTCCGGAGTGCTAGTGTGGGTGGTTTGTAGATGGATAAATGAAAAATGGTGAGATACTTTAGACCAAGGTTCAAAACTAAAGTCTGCAATATAATGCAGCGTATTTAGAACACATTTATGACAGCAGTGAAAAACAACGTTCAGCCTGATGACTAATCCAGAACATACTCATGGAGGACTACTTATGGCCACCTTAGTTTATGGTGGTGGACACAAATAAACAGTTGATACTCACAGCGTACGCAAAAGGTTCTTTGGTGGCCCAAACCACACATAAGGCGCACCCTAGACACATGCGTGACCATCAATGTAAGGCAGCTTGGACGGTCACAAAATGTCACCTCTGACACCGCTGTGGATTTACGCTCTCGAATATCCGGGGCATTAAGGCAGGGCTACGGTTGAGCTTGACGGTATTTGCTTTAGATTGATATGGAACTGCGTTACTGATACGCTAAGCCCAGAATGCCTCCGAATGACGTTCTGTAAGTTCACACGAGTCGACTTGATTCAGCCGAAACTGTGATGACCACTGAAGCCAATTCTGGCACCATTATGGTGACAACACATTGGAGCGTTCGGTGCGCTAAGACATTTCGGTGGGTTTTCGTCTGTACTACACACATACTAGTATCTATCGCGACGGCATCTTCGTTTACAGGCGGAAGTACCGGTCATTATTGGTTCACGATGTTAGTCACAAAGTCTTACACAGAGCCTTTGTAACTGGTAGCCAAACTAAGAACAAAATATTCGGTGTAGATCATTTAATGAGTTGTTGAAAAAAGTTTATTTCGTAGCGCTGTTTTCGCAATAGGGGAAAACTGAATTGTGTCAAAAGGATGTTTTCAAAGAGATGGTATAGCAGAAAACTTATATCCGTTTATACTGATCAGCATACTTAGAAATTAGAATGGTACTGATGAATTAGTAGTAATGTTTGATGGACATAGAAACCAACCTGCAAGTTTTCCTCCGTTTTCAGACTGCAACCATTCAAGCCAAGGTAGAGACCAAGAGCCAATATACGCTCTGCATCGGACAAGGTACCATCGAATGTGTGTACAACACCCCGAAGGGGGCGATGCCCATTGAAATGCATTTCTTTGGCCATCGCCAGGATCTTGACCAAATCATCATGAGCAGCTCGACAGTGCAGAAACAGTGGGAGGTCAACTTCGCTTGCCAGACGGAGCTGAGCAGCAAAATGTTCCCGTTGAATTGCAGCTGGGCAAAATTCTTCCCTGAGCATACGATCGACGCCCGAAATGTGATTTACCTGTCATAGTCCAGTCCGCATTCACCGACAGCAACGATTTTGTCCCGATTTCTGAGGATCAGGTCTCTAAGATTAGAAAGATATTGTTCGGGATTCGGCTCGAATTCTTGACAGCGTGTTGGATGACATCCGGCGGTGGCATACAAACGTTCATCTGTTCGTGTAAGCGCTAGACCATCTTCAGAATCTGATAGCGAACCTTGATGAAAGGAAGACGATGTGGACAAAGGCAATGCTACCTGATGTGACGATAATTTTATCGATTCCGGCATTGAAAGCTCTTGACAAGACGATCTGAAAATCATCTTCATGATGTTGACGACCCCGGTATAATCCACGAAAGACTTTATCAGTGAGATTCGCTCCGATATCAATAAACTTCCTGACAGAAACCATAGAAAAACTGGAAAAAGATAGGGAAACTTATATTGGTTCGAACATGGAAAAGAAATCAAGCAACTCTCCAAGGTAGCCCATCGGGGAATTGCGAGTGCCTGATGGAAGATGGCTGGCTGGTGTTCAGGAGTGAATTTTTCGGGATCCCTTATCTATGCCTTAGTAACGTGTCCCCCATGAATTGCATGATAGCGATGCACCAAAAGGATTACGTAACTTGGATTCCCAGGCAACCTACGGCGCTTCGTATCCGAGACCCCTTCTATATTCCATATTTAGCCCATTATTTACACAAATAAAGGTCACTTATTCAATTTAGCTCAATCCAGTTAGGTGACTCCAGGACCGTTACAGTCGTACAGTTGTCACCTTTATCACCATGGATAGCAACATGGCAAACCATTCATATTAAGCACATAAAGTACAACGGTCTTCTGGTGGGCGCTTGACATGCGTACAGAATGCTTCCTAATTTCCATAGTGGTGCTTCCAGTACACTTTAAAGCTCTCTTTCAGGGATATCGATTGACTCCCAACCCAAATTCGCGCAACTAGGTGTCACCAATAGAGGCAGCGCTCTGACAAAAGCTCCGGAATCCACAAGACGCTGTCCAATCAACGAAAAACCGAGTTATCACGATATGGGAACGAAGGAAAAAACCTTCCGTGTACTTTGTGCTGGTGGGCACAGGTGATGCTAAAGCGTGCGAAACCAGTAAAGGCACCTGCAAAGTAGCGGCCGCTATTTCATGTGAATACTCGAACGGAAACATTGAACGGCCTGGTGCAGCACATTCGGTTGAAGAAAAAACATCAAAACTAAGGGTTAGCTTGGATTCGAGTGAATCACCTGTGAAAACCAAATTGGTATGCGAATGAGTGTATTTTCCGAATTCCGTGCAATCCGTGTACAATTGAAACATAAGTTTGAAAAAAGCTTGGGGACTACGCCTATCTGATCAGCCCCAAGAAGGGTGCACCGGTCATGGGCTGTCGAGGAGTTTCCAGTAGCCATATGAGTGGCGTGTTACGTCCATAGATTGTTTTCATTCAGCTTCACTCATGCAATCGCTGGTTAGTCTAATGAGCACCTCTTACTGCCCTGTCGACCGGTTAACCTTGGCCGACATTCATGTAGTGCGTAATCGATGGGCGGCACTGAAGCAGGTGCCAGCTGCGGTCTGAATAGAACTTGGGAGTCTGTTTCTAGCACAGCGTAGAAAGTGGGTTGGGTTATCGACCCGCATTAACCTAGAAGTCTGTCTTCTCAGGTCATTTCTAGCTTGAGTCTGTGTCACCACAGATTATTGTTAGCCACCAATTCCAACATATGCCTGGAGACTAGATACTGATGGATTCGAAAGACCTTGTGCGACATGAAATTACCTCTTCGTTTTCTTTTGCAAGGCACGATATAGGGACCACTGCACTGGGCCTTTGCCCGTAACTGAAAAATCGTGCCCGAGGTACCATTCTCATCAAAACCGTTCGAGATCACTCATCTCACCCACTGTGCAGGTATGAATATCGAGACCGGCGTACTCCAGCGGTGAACTTATATGTGTAGAAAGCATAAGCTTGACTGCTGAGATGGACCGGTCTGCGAGTGTGCGTGGCCTCCGTGTTAGACAGGAATCCACGCGGATCCCACTATACGGCACGTCTTTAGGCGCTGCTACGGCCGAGAAGCCTGGCCCGCTTGAGGTTGGCCCAGAATTCAGGACGCTTGCCGGTCCGGCATCAAGGTGAGATCTGATTGGTCAACAATCTGGACCCAACAGCCAATCATGACCCAGTATTGGCCAAATGCCGGTTGCCAATGTCGCATCCAGAACGCGTCGGAAATTCCAGAAAGTTATAACCGCTTACGCTATATATACGAAGCGCTGTACAACTGTTCTTGACTTCGTTTTGGGCGGTAATAGACCTTGTGCACCTTTGGTGGTTGTTTTGACGTGAACCCTAGCTTGGGAGGCTCAGACCGAGAAGTAAGCTGAGGAAAGTACCGTTACTACACTCCGAAAACAAGGGTCTCACATTTTCCGTATGGTTACGCCTTTCGAAGTTTTACGATATTCCGCAAAAGCCCTTGGTAACAGTGGTTGTTTCAATAAAGTCCCCAGATGGTTGGTACGTTCGATTGACTTTCCCGTCACCAGTGGTGATCTCATACGTTTTAGCCTTAGTAGGCAGTCCACTACCTAAGCCCACGTGGTGCCGCCATGTCCGCAACTCGTTTGCGTACCTGGTGTAGTTGGATTCCAGAGGTTTGAGCAGGTCACCCGCATTAATACAAACTACTTGATGCGGGTTTCCAAGCTGAGAAGAGTGTCGTTGACTAGTATCACCTACTGTCGGTCCGTAATAGTCCAGTATCATCGACAGAGTCATTTTTCGAGTCTGTAATCCGCTATTTCCAAGGATATATGTAATGGTAACAAATTTGCAAGGTCAGACGAAATTAATTCAGTTTGCTGCGGCTTACCTCACGTGACTGTTCATGCTTCTCCTGCCAGTCCCTTCCCCGTCCACCTTTACTCTTTTCTTTACAATAAGGCTTTCAAATAACTCATGGTTGTACAGCAGTGAAGCATCAGTGTTGAACACTGATGTCATGCTGTCGATGATGATGCCAGTGACAACTTGGGAAAATCCTTATTAAGGTCAAATTCATGGCGTTCAGACGATAGCGAGTTTCACTGCATCAAGTGCTCTTAAAATGTTCTTCAAAATTTCTACCCAAACCTTGTTAAGACAGTTGTAAGATGCGCTAGCAAGTAAATGGGTATCCAGGACTGGTCTTTGTGAAGTGCTTTGACGGTACACAGATTTCCGGTATTTCACCGCTAGTCACCATCTTGTGGAAATTCGCCGGAAATTCGTGGCATCACTGGAGTCAACCATTCCAGAACCCGGGAATGGAGGCCATCAATCCCTTAGATTGGTCTCCGGCATAAAAAGTACACATTTGGATATCTTTTGTGCACATCAAGCAGCCCGCTCGTTGACCTGGGTAACAGTGTTTTTTGAAAGGAGTGTCGGTTTCCAGATAAAAAGACATAGTGTTCCACCTCTTGTCCTGCGGGGCACATAATTGGGCAGGGGGCGCGTCTGTCGCATAAGTTTCTGATAATTCAGTGTTTGCTCTGCGGCAATCGTCCCATTCCGACATTTTGAACCTCTAATAGTTCTTACGAGCGAGATGAGTGACAGATCTTTTCCACAGCCTCTGGAAGCCACACAACGGTTTGTTTACCGACCGGGTACTCCGACAGCAATTCTGGCCTTCTTAAGGGTAACATACTTTCGCAGATTTTTGCCCGTGTCCCAAACACTTCAATCTCTATGGCCTCTCTCCTTGTTCCCGATGGGTCGGGTTTCCATGGGTTTTGTATGTATTCCTCCCTTGGGATATTTTCCCTTCCTGACCAGCTGACAACCTTATTGATGGTGTGACGCTTTCCCGAAGCACAGACGTCGTCTTTAAATATTAAAATTTTTCCGAGTGGCTCGCAAGTGATAGGTCTAGATGCGATGGTTCGATTGCTACCCATCAGTTGCGGGACTTTTTTTCCCAATAATTCGGTTTTAACAACAGGAGTTGCTTGGAATGCTCCTGATGTAGACCAGTTGAAACAGCCCAAAAATGTCTAAGTGGCTTTCATCACAACAGACTCCGCGGAGTGTATTCATTATGGATCCGGGTTTCATAGGTAGGGGTGGACAACAAGGGTTCCGGTGTTTTATCCCCACACTGCTTGCACTTTACGGGTAGTGTGTTACAAGCCACTCATTCAGCTGTAGCACTCTTTCGGTGCATAACCGCAGTGCCACCGGAAGGAAGCACGAGGGTTGGGACAGTGCCAGGTTGCCCAAGCGTAGACAGGGGAAGTCGAGAGGCAGAGGTCGGGTTCGAATCCACAGACCTTCTGATCAGTAAGTTGGTGCTCTTACCAATTGGGCCATCTCGCCCCCACCTAGCTACTCACTGAGGCGTGCTACGCCTCCATGAAGATTACTTCGAGCTGTATAAAAACATGATGGCTTGAAATGGCAGCTCCCAAATCTACCATTTTGGTATAAGCAACATCTCAGATGCGGTTAAGACATCGGATTTTGGGGACTGCATTACATGCATCGGTTCATCAATTTTTCTTTTGGGCTGAAGATGCTTATGTATACCACTTTTGTGACGAGAGTTCGAATTAGATAGCCCCACAACATATTTGTTTTCCTATTTCGGTGTGTTCTCGACGATTAAAACGATTGAGGGGGCGAGATGGCTCGGTGGTTAGAGCGCCAATTTACCGACCAGAAGGTCCGTGGCTCGAACTCGGCATCTACCTCTCGACTTCCTCCTGTCTAGGCTTGGGCAACCTGGCATTATCCTAGTCCTTCCTCTTCCTTCTGGTGGCATGGCAGTTAGGCAGCAAAACAATGATACAGCTGAAGTATTGTTATTTAGGACGAATGGAGTCTGCCTTTCAAGTGTTAAGGTTTACTGAAGTAGTCCTTAAAACACCTAAAACAACCAAAACAATGATACAGCTGAAGTATTGTTATTTAGGACGAATGGAGTCTGCCTTTCAAGTGTTAAGGTTTACTGAAGTAGTCCTTAAAACACCTAAAACAACCGTCAACTCTAACTCATAAAAATTTAAATGTCTTGAGAGCTATGTTAACTTCCTAGATCCCAACGTTTTGACAGGGACCCGCACAACTACAATGCTGCCCAAAAACGCTCACCAGAGGTTTGAATGTGGGGCCCATGACGATGCTGCCACCAAACTTCAGTGTGTGCGCAACATCAAAAGTTTACCCATTCTTGTCATTTAATATCCATCGATAAACGGGAATCTATTCATAAACTGAGGTCACTCGGATGTGATTGCGATTCCCAAACAGCAAAAACAAACGAGAACTGTAGTTGGTCCGCGCGTTATGCTACGATGCGCGCCAAGTCTCAATATTTCCTGGCTAACCTTTGCTATCCGCTGGCAGTCTGCTTGATTTTCTGTGCAATTTTTTCATCGCTGTCGGCTGAGTACATATATATACCACTGCTGTATTTCGCATTCTTCTTCAAGCAATCGGTGTGCGAAGTGATCGTATCTCTTGCCATGACTTAGTGGATTGCAATTAGCGTGACCTCCTCAGTTGACCAAAAACCTTGCAACTAACAGGGGGAACGTGCATCACTAAATGGGTAAGCTCTCACATTGTTATGTTCTTACCAGGTTACATTTCGGCGCACCTTCTAAGTGCCGAATTTGAGTAGCATGAGTTTTACTTCCGACATTCCCCCGGGTTTTGCCCCTCCATGTTGATTATTGCTCCATTGTCGTCTGAGACACTAAAAGGCATTCTTATATAGCATTTCGTAGCCCAGGACGCAAGCGGCAAATGCTCTGCCTAACCTCATCCCGCTTCTTCGCGACGGCAATCCAATACTCTAGTTCCAGCAGTTGGACTCCACATTTGCACTAGTAAGGTTTCAAACTATCTTTTTGGACCCAAGCCCATCTACAGCCCAATTTTTATATTCGTTGATTACTTACTTAAAGCGTCCCTTCAATAGCTCACTCGCCATGGCTTCCGGCTTCCTCGACGCCTAAGCTAGTCAGTATCAGTCTCACAAGACCTGTCTCATAACATCCTACTTCACTCCTTTTCCGCTTTGTGGTACTCAAACCCTGTAGCTAAAAAGCAACCGGTCTACCGTCCTCACAATAACTTGTGACCAGTCAACAGTAAACTGCAGTAGCACCCTCGTGAACTGGGGGCATCCCACTAAGACACTGAATGCTAGCTCCTGTGCTTGCGTTTGCGAACAAACTCTGCTGTGATTTTCAGTACCCGGTTGGAGTTTTTCCTGAAAAAAACTTTCAAAGTTCGTTTGCACCTGATGCGCTAAGGCCGCTTACTTGTTACCAATCCTGTCTTCCTCATTTAGTGATTGTTAGACCCTGAATCCCCCATCATCTATCCCCTGTGTCTAAAGTAGCGCCTCATAGCCAAAAGACTCAACTCCCAACCCCTTCACTTTCCGAGTCCGGTCGGCAGAGCGCTGAGTAATCTCAGACTGTCCAGTAGTACTAACTGATATCTCTTAGCCTGCTCCACTCAGCAACTCTGTTCTCTTGCCGCTATCAAAAGGACCTCAGGTTCAGACAGACTTGGAAAATCTCAGAGACCGTTTGCATACAGCCCATCGCGCGTTTCCTGATGCAACATGCGATCCATAAAATCCTGAAAAGCATCAATTCTTATGGATACGATTTCCTCTGAGATTTGTCAGCGAATGGAATGCCGTCACCGGATTCTAATATACAATGTGCCTGACCGAATCCAGCTTGAGCACAAAAAACTGTCATCTTGAAAGCATGTCACATGTTCACAGCTAGATGGCCCCAAAAATCGAAACTATCCATGTTTTGCCCAATAATAATGCGATTCGGGACCGAGAACGTACTCAATATCTATGAGCGAATGCCCCTGAAGAACTTCGGCCCCAAAGACATGATTGTATTAATGACGAAGATGAAGAGAAAAGATGATAGAGGACAGCCTTGCCTGAAACCACTTGATAAGATGAACGAGAAAAATCGTTAGGCATTCGGTGTCCAGCTGCGAGGCCACCCGAGGAAAGCACGAGGGATGGGATACTGTCAGGTTGCTCAAGCCTGGACAGGGAAAGTCCAGATGCAGGTGTCGTGTTCGAAACATGGACCTTCTAGTCTAACCATCGAGCCATCTCGGGATAGAGGTTCTCGTAGACCTTCACATATCTGCGGGAGTTGGCGTATAGCGCCTTAAGGGGGGGATAATAATTTGCTCTACAAACATTGCCATAGTGTCTGACCGCCCATAGAGTCAGACAGCTTCCAAGTCAAGGAAGACAACCATTTTCGAGAGCTGGAAACAGTGCCACTATTCATGAATCTGTTGGTGTGAAAACATGGTCGATGCGTCTTCTTGCAGGAAGAGGCCCAGCTTGGATTTCATGGATCTGTCTCTCCCTATGTTTAGTCAACCCTTGAAGGATAAGACCAAAGAGCATCTTCGATGCCACGGTGGTTTTACGCGGCGTCCGAGCGCTCTTTTTGGAACACAGGAGTACTTGTTGACATGACGCATTCTGGATGAACTTTCTCTCTGTCTCATACGGCACCAATAAGCGTTGTCAACAGGGTCAAAGGGATTCTCTGCCTTCTTCAGAGGGCTGGATAGAAACCGTCTGGTCCTGGTGCCTTCTCACGTTTCAGTACGAATAGTTCGTACTTTATTTCTTCATCCGACGGACGATGAAGGTTTACACTCCGTTCACTCTTACGCACTACCCATAGTCTAGGTTGCAGGATGACAGCTAACCTGAAGTATAGACGTGAAACACTACTAATAAGGTTGCTGGAAACTCTCCGACAGCTCACGACCGGTTTCGCCCTTCTCTGGGCTCATCCGGTTGGTCTGGTACACCTGTTCCAGTTTGTTCCCACTGACATGAGCCTGGGCGGCTAGAGTTAGGGACATCATAGACAAGAGATTCAGATGGGTTCCAGGTGATTCTCCCATAAAAAACTAAACTGGTATGCAAACCAGTATATTTCGCTGCTCTTCGAACGATTCGGCTCACTTTCCCGTCGAACCTTTTTGCGAGTGAATCAGTGAAGCATCTTTTCACCTGCCACTTACACAGACCGTTATTTTTGTACGGCCAGTGAATCAAATTAGTTGATATAAGGCATGGTTGTTTCCGGTAGCAAAAGTCATCTCCGTTTCCCGAGCCTTCCATGTCCACTAGAACACCCGGTCTCTCCTCAGACTCCTCACTATTTGGTGTTTTAAGGATTTGCGTGCGCCGTCGTACTCGTTTCCTGCGTTGTGTACTTTCTGATATCAACCAGGATCAGCTATCTTGACAATATCCAGTGGTCATTCGATTATATCAGCGTCGGACAGGTAGCACAGCAGACAGACAGCGACTAGCATAGCTCACTACCAGTACAGTACTGTTTTACTGTACAGAGCTGAGCTAGCTCCGATAGATGCTGTTGAGCTATGGTAGCTCTTCGAAGATGGAATGCTCCTTGTTGAGTTCCGAGGGCCTGAAGGGAAACAAACTGTCAGACGTGCTCATACCAAGTTGCGTGCCCAAGAAGGAACGGCAGTTTCGAATTATGATCCCCCACCGGTGGCTGATGGGTACGTGATCTAATCGGGTCCACGATTGATTTGTAGTTGGTGGACTCCAGATTACGCGATGCAAACGTTTATACCGAAAGTTCGTACTGGCCATAAACGGTTCATGATCAGCACAAACTGGAGGAGTCGCCCTCTGTCGTCTGTGAGACGAGCACGGACTCCAAATCGACCACCCAGATGTGATTCCAAGGAACTCACACGACCGACTTGGGCATTTATATCGCCCGCAACAATCTCAAAGTCAGCGCTTATTGCTCGACGAATAAGCCCGTATAGATCTCGATGGTAAGTATCCTTCTCAGCGTCAGGACTGCAGTCCGTTGGGGCATACGGCGACACTACTAACAGTCACCGATTTTTATGTCGAAAGGCACTGAGCTTGACTAGGCTGGATAACCGTATGGCGCAAAAACGGCTGTTCACTGGGATCCAACCCAGAAAAGCGCGCTCGGCTTTTGGGCTGAGTTCAACTTTCACGTCGTATATTACATTAGTCGTCACTTCTGCAGAACTGGACATACATGGGGAGAAAATTTAAAAGGGCTGGGTCCGTCCGTTGCGTTTTGAGATGCACAGCTACGCTTGTGTGGTATGCTTGTTTTGCGGACACAGCATGAATCAGTTTTAAGAAAGTATAAGGTCTCAGCGAGGACTACCTGTTTTCCAATTTGACATAGAGTAGGGACGTTGGAAGCTCGTATGTGAGGATTTCACAGATTCAGAAAGGCATTGTTTTGTTTATTGTTGATAGGTAGTGGGTGCATAAAGCACATTCTTCAGATAACTGGCAATTAAATGGCCCAGCAAATTCTGTTTGTGTGGTGCAGGGTGGACAAAGAACCTTGCGGTCAAATGATACTTCTCGGTTACCCGAGCCGAGAGAGAGTTTTGGTACACCACATGAGTCTTCGACTCAAAACTCTGACCCAAAAGGCAGTGGGAGGATGTAAGATTTTGTTCGGGGACACTGCCTCTAACCTCCGACTCAAAAGTGTGACCCGCGATGCGGCAGGAAGTAGGGGTTTCTTTGAGAACCGTTCCCAGAGCGAATGACTAAGTAATCTGACGTGCTGGACTGCAAGGTTTTGGCCCAACCCGAGGGCGCAGGGAGTAGAGCATTACTCCCAGTGCAACAGCGCACAGTAGGCGCCTTTTCAGCAACACCGGACTCTTCAAAATATTTCAACCGTATTGAATGATAAGGGGGCGGTCACAGCCAACCATTGGGCAAGCGAAGTGTGTGGATTCTAGGGCTGATCTTTTCTAACTCGTTCTTCCTCAGAGGAAAGTAGCATCACTGCTTTATTCGATATGAACATGCTAGCCGCCTGAGGGAAACACCTTAAAGCATTCACATTTCTATCGCAGAAGACTTTACCCCAAGACCGCCTTGTAGGACGATTACTCATGGCACGAGGCTTCGCTGTTCTTAGTCTTAATGCTCCTCTTTGGCCTTCCAAGCATGTTTGCAACTTTTGGAACGAAGTTTTAGCCGATGTAACTAGCGGGGTTTTTGCATAGCTCAAGCCTAACCACCATGTCAAGGTGACTGCTTTGGGTCGAGGTGTGGTGATCGGGTACGTCCTGTTGCGTTGCACTATGGTAAGTTCATATAGCCACCACCGTTTCAGTCGAACGGGTGCTTCGTCCATCACCGGTGGTTCTGAGCCTGGCCTTTAAATTCAGGAAATCCATAAAAGAGCTCCGTTTGCAGTTTCTAGGTCGAATTTGTACTGGATTTCACTTCTTTGGCAAAGCTGAGTTACAGGGGAAGGAATATTGTCCTTCTCTGATGATCATCCTCATTGACAGCATGACATCAGTGTTCAACACCGATGCTTCACTGCCGTACAGCCATGACTTATTTGGGAGCCTTATTGTAAAGAAAAGAATAAAGGTGAATGGGGGAGGGACTTCGTGCTAGCTTAACACAATTATTCCGAGGTGCCTACACCTCCAGACATTCACTCAGGCAATCTGGATAGAAACTGACAACAAGAACGCCACTGACATCGGTTGGCAGCCATATCTTGTAGTGTCTCCAACCAGGCACAGTGAGGATCACGCGGTCCCCATCCTGGAAGGCGAGTAGCACCGACAGCACCCAAGCGTTTCGTGATCTCCTTCATACTCCTCTGCCA